CCATGGCACTCTACCCAGGGGGATAGCTTGAGGCTCTGTCTCAAAAAAAAAAAAAATTCTATCCTTTAGACATAAGTAGTGATTTAAAAAAAAATATCTAAATGAAAGTTGAATCTAGTGGAGGAGCCTTGCTATTGCAAGTGTGCTCCATGGGTCGGTAATGGCACCAGCATCACCTGGGGTGCTTGTTAGCAATACAGATTCTAGCCAGACAGACCATGGCTCACGCCTGTAATCCTAGCACTCTGGGAGGCTGAGGCAGGAGGATCGCTTGAGCTCAGGAGTTTGAGACCAGCCTGAGTAAGAGCGAGACCCTGTCTCTACTAAAAATGAAAAAAATCAGTTAGGCATTGTGGCGGGTGTCTGTAGTTTCAGCTAGCAGGGAGGCTGAGGCAGGAAGACCACTTGAGCCCAGGAATTTGAGTTTGCTGTGAGCTATGATGATGCCACTGCACTCTAGCCTGGGGGCCAGAGTGAGACATAGTCTCAAAAAAGAAAACCATATACATTCTAAGGCCTCCTCTATACAGTCTGCTAGAGTAGAGTTTGTGGGAAGGCCCAGGAATCTGGATATTAAACAAGTACCTTGGTAGAGTTATGATTAGCATTTTTGGAGAAGGGTGAAAGGGGGAATTACTGTGAGAGAATTTCTTAGTAAATACTCCCTAGCTCTGAAATACTATCAAATGTGACCCAAGTGATTTTCTACTCATATGCCATTGAGTTACTGAGCACATTTTAAATTTTGATGGTAATTGCCATTAAAAGTTGGAATTTGCCATGCTGTATATTCATTCTTCAGCATTCAGTGAGTCATTTCTTCTAGTGTCTGTATTACCTTCTGTTGTAAAATCACAGGTACTTCTAGACATTCTGTTAATTTTATTTTCAAAGAAGCCTACTGTACAACCAGGGGATACACTGGGACTTGGTTTATTATATTAGCAAAATCACCTCTATAGTGATAATTATACTTTGAAATTGAAGGACCTTTTCTTTTCTTTTTTCTTTCTTTTTTTGAAACAGAGTCTTACTCTGTTGCCTTGAGTAGAGTGCATTCAGATTTGACTACAAAATAGTCAAAGTTCATAGTTCACAGCAACCTCAAACTCCTGAGCTCAATCAATCCACCCATCTTGGTCTCCCAGAGTGCTAAAATTATATGCATGAGCCACTGCACAAGGGCAGGTAGGACTTTTCATAACAACAGGAAAGACCATGATTAGAGGGAGATTTTACTCTGGTTCCTGTCAAAATGATAACTTGGAAAGATGTAAACATAGTAAACAGCAGTAGAAACATACAGATAGACAAATTATCTGCAAATGTTATATACATATAAAAGTTCATTTAAAAATAAACATAAAAACCAAATGTCAACAATCAGTGCATCAAAAATGACTTGTATTCTGTGTATTCTTGTGAGATTTCAAGATAACCATATGCTTGTTGAAAAGACTGACAACACTTGATTTGCATACCATTGTGAAGTGTTTACATTGATGATCATGTTTGATCCTCACTAGTGTGGCATTATAATGCTAGTTGAGGAAAGATCCTCTTGAGTCTCCATAGTTACCAGTTAGTTCAGGATATGCCAGTTGCTGTAACAAGCACCTCAAACTCTTATTGGCTAAATTATACTCTGCTCATGGAACAGTCCAACATAGATGTTCCTGTTAGGTAGCTTTCTTTCAAGTAGTGACTCAGGAGCCCAGGCTCCTTCTATCTTGTGCCTCTGCTCTGGGCTGAGTTTTTGGCATCCTTTCCATTCAGCAAGTGGATGGAGAAAGAGGTATGGTAGAAGACTGCATAGATTTTTGTAGGGGTGGGGTAAAAGTGGGGTATGTCACTTCCATTCATATTTCATAAGCCAAAAATCAGTCAGGTGACTCATGTAATTATAGGGGAGGCTGGGAAATATAGTCTAGCTGTGTGTGTGGGAGAAAAAGGAGTTGGAGTTTCCCTAGACAAACCTCTATTGAAGAGCTTATCTCCTTTTCTGAAATGAATACTTTTCTTTCAATGACAGGTATTTCTCTGCCATTCCTCACCCCCTGCCCCATGCCATACATGCCATTGAGCCCCTGATGGCAGGCCACTGGAGGCATGAGCTGGAGATTGCCTGTGGGGAAGAGGAGTTGGTGTTCAAGGTGGAAAGGGGGTGATGAGGCAGTGATGTGCTTGATCCCCCACGTTAAGGGCACCTTTTCGTAACTCCACATTCAGTGATCTCACTTTGGTAACTTGAAATCAATTACAGTGGGAGTTTTACATCATGGAAATCGACAAATGCTGCAAATCATTTTTTTCCCTTGGTAAGGCAGTTGGTAAACATTTACTAGCTTGTCACTGGGTGAGGGGAACTTCAGACTTCTCTCCCTGTCTGAGTCCCTCATCTCTCCTCCCCACTCCTGACTTGAGGCTGCCTGAGATGCTTTGCCATCTACTTTGACTGAGGAGGAAGAGTGGGAGGGGAGTGACTGAGGAAAGATGGCATCAGAGAGAGTTGACTTGGGCTCCTCTTCTTGGCCAGGCCTGGATTCATGGGGATCATCTACCCTGGTATTTGTCTTTGCACAAATACCACTGGAGTTTTGCCAAGCCCCTGTGAGCTTTCCTATCTTTAGTTTTATATAAAGCCAGCACAATGTACTTTAAAGATGATTTTTGTTGCATATTTCCGAAGGCTTACCTTGAAAATGTGCTATTCTGCATGTCTCTCAGGGGGCTGAGCTCTCTTGAGGGTGATCTAGGACATTGCTAATCAAAGCATGGTCTGGTATAGGCAGTATAGGCCTTACTGGGGAGTTTGTCAGAAATGCAGGATCTCAGGCTCTGGCCCAGACCTACTGAATCAGAATCTGAAATTGATTAAGTTTCCCCAGGGGCTCATATACATATTCAAGTTCGGTTGATCTAGGATTTAGAAAGTTCTGTTGAAATGTGAGTGCAGAAAGATGTTCTTAAACACAGTGAGCATCTGAATTCCTTGGAGGGCTTGTTAAAACATAGACAATGTTTTTTTTTGAGACATGGTCTCACTTTGTTGCCTAGTCTAGATTCTTGGGTCCTATCCCCACAGTGTCTGATTCAGTGGGTCTGGGGTAAGACCCAGGAATCTTCTAACAAGTTCTCTGGTGATACTGAAGCTGCTGGCCCAGAGATACATTTAGGCATACCTCTGGGCAGCCTGTAGGATTTGGGAAGATCTCTGGCTTTGAGAACCTTTGAGAAGACCCTCTCTGGTTCACCTCCGGTAGTATGATTGAGGGGGACAAGTGTAAGCTCTCGAATCTGAAGACCCAAATATTAATCCTGAATTTGATACATTCTTGGAAGTCTCTTGACCCCTAACTTTTGTTTGCTTCATCTGAAAATGGGAGACAATAATAATAGTCACCCCACAGCACTGTCATGAGGACCAAAAGAAGGTATTTTATGATCTCTTACATGTAATATAAATATAAACTGCTGCTACAGTTGAGTATCACTCATCCAAAATGTTTGGGATTGTAAGTGTTTCAGATTTGGGGTTTTTTTTTTCAACTTTGGAATATTTGCATTATATTTACTGAATGAGCATCCCAGATCTGAAAATCAAAAATTGTTTGGAGTCAGCTTTGGAAAATAATTTCATGTTGCCCTCTTAGTGGTGGGTTCTCTTTCTGCCTTTCTCTACTTTATTTATTACCATTTGGGGAAATTACCATACTGCCGAAAATGCTTTTTTTCCAAAAATGATATTATGTGTTATTTTCAAGAATGATTGCTGAGTCTGATTTTAGTTTTGTTTTTGTGATGTATCTGAGCATTAGGTGGCCGTGATTCAGTCATTCTGGTCATATCTGTTCCTG